TATTAGCTGCCTGGAATTCTATTTCAAATTTTTTTTTTTTTTTTTTTTTTTTTTGAGACGGAGTCTCGCTCTGTCGCCCGGGCTGGAGTGCAGTGGCCGGATCTCAGCTCACTGCAAGCTCCGCCTCCCGGATTCACGCCACTCTCCTGCCTCAGCCTCCCGAGTAGCTGGGACTACAGGCGCCCACCACTGCGCCCGGCTAATTTTTTCTATTTTTAGTAGAGACGGGGTTTCACCATGTTAGCCAGGATGGTCTCGATCTCCTGATCTTGTGATCCGCCCGGTCCTCATCGTCCTCACCCCCAAAGTGCTGGGACTTGACAGTGGCGGTTAGCTCACGCAGCTCCGCCTCCGGACGCATTCCTGCCATCATAGTGGACTCACGCACCACTCGCCGCTTTTTTTTTTTTTTTTTTATCGGGTTTCACTATTGCCATTCATTCTATGTATCTTCCTCAATGTGGATTTGACACGGGTAATTCTTACTTTTTTAATTACATGCAAAATATGAATGTTCTCTTTTGTTTTACAACATTGACTTCCCGTGACCTTTCCCAATTTATCTGCTGTTGTTTATCCTATCAGTGAAAACCCTCAGCAGAATTTCCATTCCTAATAGTGTCCATGTGTGAACGTGTTGGGCTTTTCCAGACCACCATGTTTACATGCATGGGCATTTTGTTGAGAATGATGCTAGCTGATTAAGAGAGTTTGTGAAAAAGTACCCACTGTGATTGAAACACTCATTTAATACATTTTAAGTGCCTGAAACGCTCAGCTTCCTTGATTGGTGTTGATTGTTTGCATTTGATTTATTTCCTCAGTATCAGTGTTCATTAAATTACTTAATGCAATGGCCACCCTGTTGTTGCAACTCTATTTAACACCACGTCTTTGGGAACATTCTAATTCACAGGCTGTTCACTTCAGGAGTCAGGAATGTAGATTTTTACCATCTAACTGTGTATTGCTCTCGCTCATAGAAATTACTTACGAGGAAAATTATCTTTCAAAAGAATCTACAGCAGTCATGTCTGATTTTTTTTTTTTTTTAGCTATTTATAGCTTTCAGACTTGGCAGCAGTCTTATTATTTTTGACAATTTATTAAGTACCATGAGCACGTTCGTAATGCGATGTTCAATGCTCACAACAGTATGTTTCATCTTCCACATTTTAAACGTCTACCACCCATGAGGACAGCAAGCATTGTGCCAGCAACATTCCAGCAACCCATAGGCCAGATCCGGCTTTTTTTTTTTTTTTTTTTCTGTTTTAAATAGGCAGGGCTTCACTGGACATCACAACAGTGCCCAGTCTGAATGGGAATTTTCATATTTCACTTATTTATTTTTATCTGTGGCAGGGGAGTTGGGGTGCTGGGCTTTCTCTTCATTAATTATTCATATCCAAAGACTGTTGAGATTGGATTTCATTTCCAGGACGGATAAGTTGAGTAGTTATGAAAGATGATTTGTGCATATTTACATCTATACACCTTATTGTGAATGGGAAGTATTGATCAGAGAAGGTGGTCAGAAGGAGTATCTACGATAACATCAGGGTGAGTCGGTAGAAATACAATGTGTGATGTCACAGAGTACAAAATCAGGGAGAGGTCACTGGGAACTTCATGGTAAGAAAGTAAATTGAAAAAGGGAAAACTGCATAATGTGTGCATATTTCTGACTGAAAATATCAGGTGGATCAAGAAAGAGTTGGAGACTGACCAACTAGAATAGAAAAGTCCAAATGAGGCTGAGTCGTAAGTACCTGAGACGTTGGTGTTCCGCAAATGTGAACCCCTTCCCTACAGCAATGGCATTTTCTTTTAGGAAAAAGAAAATCGTAGCAAATGAAGTCAGTGGTAATTGTGGGCAGCTGCAAGTGGTCAAGCAAGGTTTATATTGGAAAAGGGCCTGGGGTGAATTCTCAGTAGGGGTTTGTACTTGCAGACCAAAGTACAAGATGATGAAGAGTTTGAAAATTGTGCCAAAGAGTGAGTTTGTGCCTTCATGCCTGAGTGAGTGCCTGGGGTACCCTCAAGCAAGGAGGGGAGGAAGGTTCACTCCCTCACCAGACATGAATTCATCTGGAGCTTAGATGGTTCTTCCTATGCCCACTACACACCATCCAGAGGTGAGAGCTAATAGTTATTCTAAGATAAGCTGAAGAACTACCTCAATAACGTCAGAGACAATTAGTCCCCATATAGGACACTGTGTTAGGCCATTCTTGCACTGCTATAAGGAAATACCTGAGACTGGGCAATTCATGAAGAAAAGATGTTTAGTTAACTCAAGGTTCTGCAGGCTGTAGAGGAAGCATAGCACTGTCATCTGTTTGGCTTCTGGGAAAGCCTCAAGGAATTTTCACTCATGGTGGAAGGTGAAGTGGGAGATGGCATCTCACATGGCAGTGATGGAGCACGGAGGAGAGCAAGACACTTTTAAATGACCAGATGTCACGAGAACTCACTCACTGTCGTGAAGACAGCACCAAGCCTTGAGAGATTTGAGAGATCCGTTCCTGTGACCGAAACACCTCCCACCATCGGGGATTACAATTCCACATGAGATTTGGGTGGGGACAACTGTCCAGACTATGAGAGACACTCATGTGCTTATTTTTATGATGTCAATAAAGTTTGTTGTATCAATTCACAAAAAGAAAATGTTTTAAGAGTCGGGTGGAGGCCGGGCGTGGCGGCTCACGCCTGTAATCCCAGCACTTTGGGAGGTCAAGGTGGGTAAACACAAGGTCAGGAGTTCGAGACCAGCCTGGCCAACATAGTGAAATCCCCGTCTCTACTGAAAATACAAAAATTAGCCAGACGTGGTGGTTGGCGCCTGTAGTCCCAACTACTCAGGAGGCTGAGGCAGGAGAACTGCTTGAACCCGGGAGGCGGAGGTTGCAGTGAGCCGAGATCACGCCACTGCACTCCAGCCTGGGTGAAAGAGCAAGACTCTATCTCAAAAAAAAAAAAAAAAAAGAGTCAGGTGGAGAAAAGTAAGTTATTATTAACAGGTGGGACTCCATTAACAATTCTGCCATGAGTGCCATGAGATGGGTATTCATGATACATTTTTCATTCATATCAGAAGTATTCACTGAGCACACACTGTCCCTCAGACACTGTGGTCCCTTTGGACATGGTGGGGCCCAAGAATAACCCCAACACGGACTGTAAGAAGTATCTCAAGTCTACAAGGGGAGATTAAAGATGAACATCAAAGCAAAACACAAGATGACCATTACTTAGTGACCTAGGGGGTATTCATTCACTCATACCATTATTTATTCCAATCAATGAATAAGCGGCATGATGGCTGACAGTGTATGCTGTGGGTATGGAGTGGGCTTTAGGGTAAGCTTTATATTAGAGGTTCTTACCTTTGATTTGATTTCGTGTTAAAATCACTTAACTAAGGAGCTTGTAAAAAATAAATTAATGGGTACAAAAAATAGTGAGAAAGAATGAATAAGACCTACTACTTTACAGCATGACAGGGTGACTGTAGTCAAAAATAAGTTAACTGTACATTTTCAATAACTAAAATAATATAATTGGATTGTTTATAAAACAAAGAATAAATGCCTGAGGGGACAGAGACCCCATTCTCCGTGATAATATTATTTCACCTTGTACGTCTGGATCAAAACATCTCGTGTACCCTATAAACATAGACACCTGCTATGCACCCACAAAAATTAAACACTAAAAACATTTTTTAAAAATCAGTCAGAAAAATGTAACAAGAGCAAGACATTGCAAACAATAAAAACCAGAGAATAAAAAAGCACAAAGCCACTGGGATTCTCATTTGTTTGGTGTGGAGTGAGGCCAAATTTTGATAGTTTTTAACGCATTCCCAACTGATTCAAATTGGAAGCCAGGGTTGAGAACCACTAATACATACTTAATGACAATTTATCTGGGTCATGAAAGCTACGGATAGGGTTTGGACACATGGAAAAATCACAACGAAGTACCATCAAATCTGTTATTTCGTCTTCTGACAATTTCCACCATGCCAGGAGGGATCCTACAAGGTGAGTCACTATTTAAATTCTCCAGTGTCAGAAATAAAGGGAATTAACACGTATTAAGACGTGCTGCTGGGCGCCTATAATGTGATAGAGGTTCCTGGATTAAGGGCAAACCTGAAGAAGGAGTTTCAAAAGGACAAATTTAGTTTCTAAGAAAGTTAAAAACCTTCATTATAGGATCCCTGGCCTTACTGTCACTCCACTGTGAATGCAGACCTAATGCCATCAGTGTAATAGCAATATTTTTATGTCGTCTAAGTGGCAGACACTTCATAGACATTTCTAATTCCCAACAACCCTGCAAGGCAGACTTTTTTTTTTTTTTTTTTTTTTTTTTTTTGAGACAGAATCTCACTCCGTCACCCAGGCTGGAGTACAGTGGTGCGATTTCGGCTTACTACAACCTCCGCCTCCTAGGTTCAAGCGATTCTCCTGCCTCAGCCTCCCGAGTATCTGGGACTACAGGCACGTGTCACCACGCCCAGCTAATTTTGGTATTTTTGGTAGAGGCAGGGTTTCACATGTTGGCCAGGATGGTCTCCGTCTCTTGCCCTCCTGACCCGCCCACCTCGGCCTCTCAAAGTGCTGGGATTACAGGCATGTGCCGCTGCGCCCAGCCATTAGGCAGGTCTGTCTTTTCTTTTCCTTCTTTCTTTTTTATTTTTTGATGGAGTCTGGCTCTGTCACCCAGGCTGGAGTGCAGTGGTGTGATCTTGGCTCACTGCAACTTCCATCTCCCTGGTTCAAGCAATTCTCTGCCTCAGCCTCCCGAGTAGCTGGGACTACAGGTGCTCACCACCAAGCCCCACTAATTTTTGTATTTTTAATAGAGACATGGTTTCACCACCTTGGCAAGGCTGGTCTTGAACTCCTGACCTCATAATCCACCTGCACTGGCCTCCCAATAAGGCAGTTCTTTCTTTTTTTTTTTTTTTTTTTTTTTTTTTTTTAACCACAGCACTGAGTTTTATTAGGGATTTCATTAAGATTAAATTTCTAGGAATAAGGGAGTCCTAGTTAAGAGGACACAAAAGCCCACAAAGCCTCCTCAGATCTCCTAGTGAACCACTGGCTCAGGTTCTTTGGAGGGATCACCGCCTCGTTCCAGGTACAGATTATTGTAAGGATACTGCTTTGGTCCCACAGGCTGGTAGGAAGGGTACACGTCCCCCACCCAGAACATGAATGTCATGAAAGCCAGGAAACCGAAGAGGTGCATACACATGACATTCCAAGAAACAGGTGTGGGGGACGTATCCACACGGTTCCTGGTGTACATGTCTACGTGCCAGTGCATCGGTTCACCCCAGTTCAACCTCAGGTCCGGCTGGTCCCAGCTATACCATGGATCCCTCTCATGCTGTGAACGGTCAGGGAGCTTCGGGTAGTCGCCATACCCCATGCCCTCATCCGGGTAAGGCTCGTAGTCTTCCACACGCATATTATACTTCTTGGCGGCGGTGGCCCGTTCTTCTGGGGTCCTAGGATAGGGCCCTGGCAACATGTCCTTGGGCATGCGGGAGGCTGTCCGTGCACCCAGCGGCACCACGTTCCGGGATGCCCTTTGCAGCCACTGAACTCCCAGGACCCCGGCCCTGGCCACCGCCATCTTCACCTTCTTCACGTTTCCCTTCTGCCGGCAGTTCTTTCTTTTTCTGGTTTTTGAACTGATGAAAGTAGGGCTCAGTTACTAGTTAGGTAAACTGAGGCATGTCGGCTTACCTCTCTGAGCCCCACTGTAATAGCCATTCATCTTTATAGGGTCAGGTCTGGCCATGTAAGGATGAAACCTGCCCAAGCACTGCCTCTCAAACTTCTTCCATGGGGAAAAGTAGGACTTACTTCCACCTTCTAACATTGTAATTTCATACATTTCACATTCCAGAACAGTACCCTTCTGCTTCAGCAAGATAACAAAGATGAAATACTTAACAAAATTTATAGGAAGATGTGTTTATAATAAAAGCACCCTTGCCAGTAAGATTTTAGGGACTGCCGGAAAGATTTTATTAAGTGCCATGATTTTGGTTCAGGCAGAACAAAAGCAAACCCAAAGACTTCCTTGGACACTCTATTTTGTTGAAGAATTATCTGGATTACTCATTTATAATGCTTGGGTCCCCTGAGTTTGTTTAGAGATGAAATAGAATATGTGACCCACAATGGGGCCAAAGTGACCTGAGTTGTAATCTCCCTCGTGCAATGTACCACAGTGTGATCTTCGATATATGACTTGAATACTCTGAGCCTCTATTTCCTCACTTATACTACGGGAACAAAATATCCAATGGGTAAAGATGCTCTTATGGATACATTTTTAAAATGTGTGGACATAACACACAAAAAGCATCTGGCAAAAATACGTCATAAAAAAGCCAGACACGGTGGCTTCACACCTGTAATCCCAGCACTTTGGGAGGCTGAGGTGGGTGGATCATCTGAGGTCAGGAGTTTGAGACCAGCCTGGACAACATGGTGAAACCACACCTCTACTAAAAATACAAAAATAAACAAACAAATTAGCTGGGCATGGTGTCATGTGCCTGTAATTCCAGCTACTTGGGTGACTGAGGCAGGGGAGTCACTTGAACCCAGGAGACAGAGGTTCAGTGAGCCGAGATGGCGCCACTACACTCCAGCCTGAAGGACAGCGTGAGACTCTGCCTCCAAAAAACAAACAGCATAATAAACGCAAATATTTACTAGGTATTTTCTGTATTTCAGGCACTCTGCTAAGCTCTTACAGCTCATCATTGTAGTTGATTTCCACAGATTATGAGTTAGGTACTATTAGTCCTGTTTCACAAATGTGACCGGGACAAAGTGAGGTACAGTAATTTTCCCAAGGTCAAGGTGGTGGTGCTAGGATTTGAATTCAGTCAGGGCTGACTCCAGAGCTTGCTTTTTTAACAACAAAGGCATACTGAGCTCAGTAGAAGTCAGATGTTGTTCTTCTTTATTAGAAAAATAAGTAACGGAACATGGTTTGTTTTTAAGCAACAGAATAAACCATGCCTATGTAGAAACTCTGGTCCAGCAAATAGCCTCCTATTTCCTATAGATTTCTGTCAGTGTCATTCTTTCTTACTTTTATTTTTTGAATTTATTTTTATTTCCTTAGATTATTGGGGAACAGGTGGTGTCTGGTTACACGAGTAAATTCTTTAATGGTGATTCGTGAGATTTTGGTGTGCCCATCACACGAGCAGTATACACTGCACCCAATCTGTAATCTTTTATCCCTCACCCCTTTCTCAACCTTTCCCCTTAGGTCCCCAGAGTCCACTGTACCATTCTTGTGCCTTTGCATCCTCGTAGCTTAGCTCCCACTATGCATGAGGACATACCATGTTTGGTTTTCCATTCCTGAAGTTACTTCACTTAGAGTAATAGTCTCCAATCCCATCCAGATCACTGTGAATGCCATTAATACATTCGTTTTTATGGCTCAGTAGCATTCCATCGTACACATATACCACGGTTTCTTTATCCACTCAGTTGACGGGCATTCGGGCTGGTTCTATATTTTTGCAATTGCAAATTGCGCTGCTATAAACCAGCATGTGCAAGTGTCTTTTTTGTATAATGACCTCTTTTCCTCTGGGTGGATGTGTGGCATGGCACACAGACAGACAGACAGACAGCTGGGGCTGCTGGAAAGGGAGGGAATCCTTTCTGCTTGGACTTTTTATGGTGCTGAATAGACAGAAAGTAAGGGTTGCCCCATGTGATTCATTGTGTGTGGTGGAGGGGAGCTGGGTCCTTCTGAGATGTGAATGACCACATGGAAGAAGGTTGAAAATGAAGCCAGGTGGACAGGTCAGCAGAGCCCTGCACTCTTAGAATGCAAGAAGAGTCAACAAGGATTTCAGGCCAATAATTGAGGCAAAAAGGACAGGTGAGGTCTTAGTGGACTCCGTAGAGAGCAAATTATATTCCATATCCTGCAAACTGAATTTACCAATGTCCCTGCCAATCTTTAAATCCCTCTCTTTTTACCTTTATTTTGAAATAATTACAGGCTCACAGGAATTGGCAAAAGTAGTACAGAGTCCTCCTATGCACAATTTACCCAGTTTCCCCCAATGGAAACATTTTCCATACCTGTAACAAAATATCCAAACAAGGAAACTGATACTAGTGCAATCTACAGACCTTGTTCACATTTCATTGCATGTGTGCCTCTGTGTGTGTGTGTTTGTCTGTGTGTAGTTCATGTGTATGTGTGGTTCACGTGTATATATAGATTCATGTAACCTCAACCAAAATCAAGATCACTATGAAAAGGCCCCTCTGTTGTACTTATTTCCAACCTCATTTTCTTTCAACAATTTCTACTTAAGTTTACAATGCCACCATTACTGAGTCACCCAGATAAAACCCTGAGACTCGTTATTCTCCAGAACATTAAGACACAGAAAGTACCAACCCCACACATCCAACCCATTTCTCTGGTCCTATTCCTGAAGCCTTCATTCAGACTTCTACTGTCTCTGATCCATTCTCTCAAAACTATTTCTGAATGCTGCTGGTTAAGAGACACCACTATGCTAAGTCACAGGGGGGATAAATGATGATGATCCAATAAAAATAACCCTTACCCTCATGGGACCTACAGTTTTGGAAGGAAGATAATAATCAAAGAATCACATAAACATATGTAAATTTACAACCGAACTAAACGCCAAAAAGGAGAGATACTTCCTTTTGGACAGGTAACAGAGGGGAAATTTAGCTTCCGTAGAGAAGTGACACTGGGCAGGAATTTGGAGAATAAATAATAATTAACCAGGTTAAATAAGTGTGTGGTGAAGGGCAATGAGACTTAGTGGCCACTGTGATGGTAGAAAGAGGTGGGGCCTTTAAGAGGTGATTGGTTCCAAATGTCCATCAGTGACAGACTGGATTAAGAAAATGTGGCACATATACACCATGGAATACTATGCAGCAATAAAAAGGATGAGTTTGTGTCCTTTGTAGGGACATGGATGCAGCTGGAAACCATCATTCTCAGCAAACTATCGCAAGAACAGAAAACCAAACACCACATGTTCTCACTCATAGGTGGGAACTGAACAATGAGATCACTTGGACCCGGGAAGGGGAACATCACACACCGGGGCCTATCACAGGGAGCGGGGAGGGGGGAGGGATTGCATTGGGAGTTATATCTGATGTAAATGACGAGTTGATGGGTGCTGACGAGTTGATGGGTGCAGCACACCAACATGGCACAAGTATACATATGTAACAAACCTGCACGTTATGCACATGTACCCTAGAACTTAAAGTATAATAAAAAATAAATAAATAAATAAATAAATAAATAAATAAATAAAAAGAGGTGATTGGTTCATACAGGCTCCTCCCCTCACGAGTGGGACGAATGCTCTTATAAAAGAGGCTTTATAGTATTTGGCCAGCCTGCCCTTCTGCCATGTGAGGACACGGCATTTCTCCCCTCCAGAGGATGCAGCTCTCAGCAGACACAGAACCTTCCATTGCCTCGATTTTGGACTTCCCAGCTTCTGAAGCTGTGATAAAATAGATTTCTGTTCTTTATCAGTTACTCAGTCTCAGGTGTTCTATTATGGGAGCACAAAACAGACTAAGACGGGGGAATAAAATGGTTTAGGAAAGCTCAAGAGAGAGTGAACTGCATTTAGTGACAGAGAACATGGGGGACGGATGGAAAAAAAATAAAGGTGGGCTGGGCGTGGTGGCTCATGTCGGTAATCCCAGCACTTTGGGAGGCTGAGGCAGGAGGATCGCTTAAGGCCAGGAGATGGAGGCTGCAGTGAGCTATGAGTGCTCTACTGTGCTCCAGGCTGGGTGGCACAGTGAGACCCCATTTCTTTAATTAAAAAATCAAGGCGATTGGTGTGCTGTGGAGAGTTAGTGAACAATGCAGAGGTTGAGGACGTCTAAATCTCGCAGGGCCTTGCCTCCAACCATACAAAGGATTTTTGTCTCCTTCCAGAGAGCAATGTGAACTCCCTATCCCTGAAGGGCTGCCTGTGGGGTAATATGATCAAGCTGCTTGGGTTGCAGTGTGGAGGTGGGGCCGAGTGTGGTACAGAGGTTCCTCAGGTCCCCACTGCAACCATCCAGGAGAGATGGTAGTTTGGATCAGGTTGGTGCTAGCCACAGAGATGCGAGGAATCGACAGAAAGCTCACACCGCAATCATGTCTTCATGCATCTTCCCTCCAGTTTGGGGCTTCTCTAATTCAGCCTCTCAAGTACAGCTAAAGGGGCCTCCCTGAAATGCCACTGATGGCAAGTGAATTCAGAATAAATTCCAAACCCAATCACAACCCATAACCTGCTTTGTGGTCGGGCTCATACCCACCTTCCAGTCTCATCTCTCTCAATCTCACCCAGCGGCTGCCCCCGCCTCAGCAAACTACAAGAATTTCCCTGTTAGATCTGTATCGGGGCCCACATAGTGCTGAGCAGACGATGTCGAATTCAATGGGAATGGCGCTCCATGGGTTTACACAGCATGGCTACCCTGGCCGTACTGAGAGTTCCCAGACCCTGATTCCCTGACACCAGCACTGACGCTGTCCACACCTCACACAAGAGCCCAGAGGTGTGGATGCTAGATGTGCAGAAGGTGAGTCTACTAAACAGACCTGCAAACACATAGCAGCTTCACCAGCAGTTCTCATCACCAGTCCAGGTGGAAGCAAATCTGAACAAGACCTCGAGGTCACTGTATTAACGAGCTGTTTTGGAAAAGCATTAAGACAAACACAGAGACAAACAGGTACAGGGCAGCGCACGGACCTTAAGTAGGTTTGAACCTAAGGACTCCGATCTTCCTCCTCTGTTCCTAGTTTCTAAAGCTCACATTATAGAAATGCTTTTCCAGACACCTGTAACAAGAAAGTCAATCTCCGAGGCAAGCTAGAGATGCTTTTAAAGTGGCTATTTAAGGGGAAGGGTGGGGCAGAAACAATCACACACCACAGAATTTCATGAAGATGAAATCCAGTTGTAAAATCACCAGGATCCCCAAAGGGCTGTCGTGTTAGGAAAAATAAAAAAATGCTAAAACATTCTACTCTCATTTGCTTCCAGTATTCAAAAGAACACATATTTCATAATCCAGGGAAGCCCTCCATTCTTTGAGAATTAGCTGCAGTTTTCCAGCCCTAATTCCATAAATAGCCTTTAACATTCTGCTCAGTGACACTGGTGCAGAGATGAGGTCCCTCCTGGCGTGACATTCCGTCCAGCCGGTACTCACACCACATTCTCCTCTCCTCAGGAAGCAAACCACTTCTCTGCTGTTTCCCCACTGTGTCCAATTATGCTGCTGCCCTTGCAAAATGAGCACTTAGGCATTCAATACATTTTTAAGGAAATGGATCAGCATGATTATTCTGGGAAACACAAAGCTCACGGAGGAATAGGGCAAATTATGAATTTCAGGAAATATTGGTCTTTGTGTATTAATCACACTAATAATATTGCAAACGAGGGAAGTACAAATCCACCTCCCTCCCGTGCATAATTTGCTTTGTTTGATCCCTTTGAAGTAAGTGTACAGAGTATTGTTTTGATGTATTTATTTCCCTCCCTTGTTGTTTTCAATTATTGCTGCATTTTTAAAATATCAGGACAAAAAAAAAAAAAACTGGAAAGCTACAGAATTTTTCCAATTAGTCATAAAAGCCATAGAAAATATTGTGCCGGAAAATAAAAGGCCATCAGAGAATGGCACATAAACAGCATACACAACACCACTCGCTCCTTCCAAGTCCAGGGCAGACATGCTTAATCAATTCTAGAATTCTGGCTCACAGAGATTGTAAGTGGCCTCAGCCTCCTTTCTCCACATAGCTCTCACCCACCATTCAGAAGTGGCCATCACTGCAGCCTAGGCAACTACATTCTGGACAGGCCGAGTGTCCTTGCCAAGGACACATGGTAAGTTAGTGTTAATGCCAAGATGAGAAGCCAAATCTTACTCCCCATCTGGTGTTCCTCAATTATATCTCCAAGAGGCTCCCTATCCTTATCTTTATATAGCACCTGGGTAGGATTCCTTCCATGTTTATGGGATTCTTTGGGCAACATTTAAGAAAATGAGAAGAGCTAAAGAGAGTCTCCTCACTGAATTTAAACATGGAAACCTCCACTTATAACCTTCATCTTTCAACATATCCCGTAGACCTGCACTAAATCTGGTACCTCTTGGCTCATAAGGAAAACACACACACACACACACACACACACACACACCCCTCTATCTCTAAAACAGCCCCAACTTCTTTTTTCCTTGGCTGTACCCTTCTCAACATTCAGATTTCAGCTTAATGATCATTCTTCCATAAAAT